TGTTTTACGACGGATCTCAAGTAGGGATTGGTGTTCAAAAGCACGTGAAATCGCTTTCCTGTAGGGCTACGTAGTTAGAGTGTAGTGTGGGTGTTCCCTTGAAAGTCTAATCTTTCGATGATATCATTTTAAAAAGGTGTACTTTACCAAATGTCTAATTCTTACTCAGTAATAGGACCATACTTCATCCTTCTTTGCGTATGCATGCGAAGCTGGTTTACGTTGCGACAGTTTTTGTTGTTTCATTGATTTTTCCTCATTTCAGATGGGTAATTTCGATGGGTTCCTGTGCCAACGGAGGTGGATATTATCATTATTCATATTCGGTGCTTCGTGGATGCGATCGTGTCATACCAGTTGACATATATGTTCCTGGATGTCCACCAACTGCTGAGGTAAGAGTTATTTCAGTTGGCTATTAGATAGGGTTCCATCATATAGACTTCCCTTGTTGGCACTGTACACATGTTCGTTTTTGGGCAATATTTGACCTGATGAGGAAATGAGTAGGCTCGAACTGAGCTACCTTTCTGGCTCAGTAATCTGTGAAAAGGAAAATAATCTGATAATTCCGCCTCCGAATAAGTAAAAGATTTCCAGCTACCGTTAGTAGCGGGAGGGGAGTGGTGAAGGGCTAGCCGATAAGTGCAGGCAAGCCAGATTTGTAGGAACATGTCTCCTCATCGCTGTGGGTTGATCAAATGTAGGTTTGTTCTTCATTGCTTTCCGGCAAATCAGTAATATTCCTAATTTTCGATGTTCCTCTAGTTTTCTGGGCATTTGTTTCTGTAAACCATTTCAGGCTTTGCTGTACGGAGTGCTGCAACTACAAAAGAAAATCAAGCGGAAGCGTGAAGCCCAGCTGTGGTACAGGCGATAGATGGGCCGATTGTGGCACAGTCACCTAATGTCACGTTGGATAGTGATTTGCTGTGTATGCTTTTAATAGAGCGGTTTTTTGTATGTTTGTAGACACGGGAGTCGTGACCGTCGTGACGTCTTTTAGTAGATTATTTGAGAATTATTTCGAGGTTATAAAGCTTTCATTCGATATACGAGTACCTTTTGATGATTTTATGGTTGCCAGAGCACCGACTCGTCCTCGATTCTGAAGAAGATGAGAACTATCTTTTCGACTGTGTGCTTCTTGATTCTCTTTGCATACTTTCTGTTTATTATTTGTTCCTCATACTGGAATCGGTTCCATACTTTTTTCTCCTGCAGTTTCTCGTAAACTTTGCCGTAACCTTTTCTGAATAGTATCCTCTTGATAACATTTTCACAATTCACTACCCACCTCCTTAGCACGTCACTTTGAAATGATAATTGATTTTGCATGCTCATTCGATAACCATTCTTTTCATGATCGACATTTCTTCGAGTGCAAGATAGCCCGTGAGGGCTGTTTGTACCCATTCATATGTGTGTGCAATCATGTTCATAACCATCCATTTTGCTATCCTTTCGCTTTTCCAGGTTGTGGATGCCTTAATAGCAGGCCTCAGAGTTGTCGCTAGCGTGTAATTTCTCAGTTGCTTATCAATCAAACTGGAAATAACAGCTTGCTCATATATAGCATTAAGCAGCAAAAACATGGATCGCGAACAGTTTCCACAGTCGGAACTGCGTTACGTCGAGGTGAGTGTTTACTTTTTTTACGAACGGAAAAAATATGTGGCTCCAATATGTGTTGTAGTTATATTTATTGTAAGCCCGAGTCCGAGTTGCAAAAACATCGATAATCAAAAGTATTGTGTGATTTCGCTTGTATTCGGGTATGAGATTGGCATTTTGTATTATTGATTGTTTCGAAACGTGGTGAGAGGTGATGGTGAACGTACACCCTACAGTAGATTAGATTTGGGTGAGTCGACGGTAGACACAATGAGTGATTCAAAAACTGAAGACTGTAGAGATTAGCAAAGAATTTCGATAAAATAACTGCTGAAATTGATACTTTTTGCATACCTGCGATTCCCGCTACTATTGAGATCGTGATCGGTCTCGGTAATGTGGCTTAAGTGAAGGTTGCTGAATGTGTAATTTGAATTGTTACGGAAGATCCGTGGCTTCTGTAAGAGTTGGATTTGCGGAAAACGAAGCTAGAATCCAAGCAGTTTTGCCATCCCTTATTTGAAGTAAAAGTTCACGATCTTCTTCCCTTGGGGCTATCGATCGGGGATTGAAGACGGCAATCCAGAATGTAATGAACAATAGTAAAAAAAGCAGATTGCTTCAATATTTAGCATCTGATTTTTTTACGATCGGAAGCAACAATCAATATGAAATACAGTAACCGATCTCATGGATTGACGTTACTTCCAGAGATTGGTCTCACAATTGGATAACTTTCAGAGGTAGAACAAAAATGCTGCATTGAGTGCAGAAAGAAGTGCCTATTAAGTCTGATTAGTTTTGCTCCTTAAGGTGGTGCTGCTCAAGAATCCCTGCTAATTGGGGTGTTAAATGGTTTTAGCATTAATGTATTATGAAAGTTGTGTGGTAGACGGGGTGGAACAGGGACTTGCAGTGATCCGTGACAAAGCCTTTTGCATCGAAGTTGGATTTGCAACGGGGGACGAACTTTCATGGTCCGAGGATGCGCGCGGCAACTTGCGCGGCGAACTTCGTGACGACTCGTACGACTCGGACGCCAATTTTCGGGGCAAGTAGAGTAGTTTAGTAGGGTCAGGTGATCATTCTGAACTACTCTAATTTAAATTTGGGCCCCAATGATAGGCGCTAAAGTCGTTCAAATCGTCATGAACTTCGCAGCGCGCAACTTCGGACGCACGTATGTGCACATACCCATTTGTAACAGAGTGAGTTCCATTTTACGACTAAATGAAGGGTGTGAAAGTAACTCGCCAATAAAAGTGCAGTGGGGTCTATCAGTAGGGGCTTGTAGATAATAAAAGAAAATAGAAGCTCAGCCGCAGCAGTTTAGACTAGCAGCGCAAAACTTGAGCTGTTGTCACAGACTTGTCAAACGCTAAATCGTCTTGAAGTTTCTATTAAGGTGCCTTCGACTATTTTTTGAGCTTCCTTCTTCAGGACAGGGCACGAGCTAATGTTCATTCTAATTCTCTACGTGTATCGGGTAATATGTCTTCGGTTTGATGATTTTAAAAGTTTTATTGTAAGTGGTGGCAGCAGTGAAGTAAAAGAGCAAACCAAAAATTAGGGCTCGCAATTAGTCCAGGAAAGGTACAATGTTAGGCAGAGTGTTAGTCTTTAGTTCGATTTGACTGCTTGGTATGACGCTGCATTGCTTGAATAGCACTCTTTTTCTCTATGTCGCTTCTATCTGCGCGAAGGTTTGGAAATTCTGCCTTTGAATTGATACCGTTGTGCGCAATTCTGAACCTGAAGATCCTCTTGATTGATTAGTTAGGCGGGAAAATTGGACAGTAGCGGGGAAATTTCATTTATGAATAAAAACACGAGTTTTGGGATCAATTTCACGCCACTTTATAGTGTTGGACACATGTTAGTATTATACTTAGGGATTCTTGAGCAGTGTCCATCTTTTTGGTACAGAATCATGGCATACTGCATCACTGAACTTGTTCACAGAATGGAAAAATCTGCAAGTAACGAAATGAGATGTCGACTTCTAAGATAACTAGAGTTTTTCACTAAAGTCCATCGAATTGTGATGGGCTGATTGAAGAAATGGCTCTGTTTGCACATCGTGCCGGTCGTTGGGGTAATGACACGGCTACGGTCGTGCAGACATTCGTCCAGCACATGCTTGGACTGAGCATCACTTATTTGAAATAAATTACAGAGTTCGAAACCCAATCAACCCATACTCTCGAAAAGAAAGTAGTCTACTGAAATTCATTCACCATCGCCTCTCAATTGCGCTCAGACAAGATAGAAGGGTTGCTTCTGAAGTGCAGTGATTCATTGGTGATGATTGATTGATTGATTAGTTAGGCGATTTGTGTTTCTGCGAGAAAATGGTTCGAAATGAAGTAACCGTATGGTCATGGTTTCTGTCTGAGCGCAAGTGAAGATACGCAGTCGGTCGTTGACCCGGGTCCGAAGTGGGCGAGCTCCCTATAGCTGTTACCGAAATGAAGAAAGAAGCAAGCCAACAATAGTTGGGCATAAGAGTTGTAGTAATGCAGCTTTCAGTTTGCGATATGCCACGTGCGGTGCGCTTCCTACAGAGCCCATCATCTCCGCCGTTGCCGCATTGTGTGGGTCGCGCGTGCAGTGATCGTTGCTGTATGGTATACCATTATGCGAGGGTTAGTAAGTTTGAGTCGCTTCAGCTGGTCTGTCCGTCCCAGCTCTTTCCTTACTGACCATTGTTCCACCAGGTATGAGCGGTTAGGTCCTGTCTAATATCCCTGGCTACCTTGATTCCCAGGGGCCACGTAATAATGCTTCCAACTCACGGTTCGCATGAAGCGTAGAATCTCGTTATTATCGGTGTCGTTTGTTCTAGTTTAGGCACCCCCGAATCAGCGTTGACCGTTAGCTATACACATACCGACCAAGGAATCGGCTTACCTGGTTACTACTTCTCGTCTCAGAAACAATCGTTTTGGGAATGGGTTAGCTGTGACCGTTATAGATTGGATAGGAGGCCTTCCTTCGCGTTATGTGGGATGGGAAGGTAGCCAGTAGAATAGCCAGTAGAATGGCTTCGCTCTCGGCTACGCACGGCTCGCTGGACCCGTTTTCCGCATAGGACCTGAAGGGGCTCCGCAGTTTATCATTAGTCAATACCAAATTGAGCAATCAATGCGATAGATGAACCAGTCAATAGAAAAAGGCTCGGAGAGGAACAGATGAGTTGTAATGTTTCAAGACGTCAAATCTGAAGTGAGGTAGTCCATACACGTTGCGATCACGTCACGACACTCGGCAACGGTGGCGAGCTTGGCATCGCAGATTACACGTCGCAGCTGGTATGTCGCAAACTATGAACTAAACCTAAGCGTTTGCCCATCAAGAGGTGACAGTAATATGCTAGTCATACTGAAATGATGAGAACCCGGTACTGAAATTTAAAATGGAGCTTGCTCATGTTAATGATCATGTTGATCTCACCCCGGTTTGACGGTTGTTGTTGTGCGTGTTCAATTTTTTGGTTTTGGTGTTCAATGGTGTTCATATTGTTCACTGATTCTCCAATGATCAGATCTCCGATCGTTTTACGATCAAATGTCCTTATGTCTGTAATGCTCTCTGTATTTACTGCTCATGCTTGTACTATTGTCTTTTCTTAAGATGGAGGCTGCTTGCACCCTTTGATTGAAAGACCGAACCTGTTAGGAAAAACTTTTATGTTATTATTTTAAAGCCAATGAAAAATAGACCTGCCCGGTTCCTGTAGTGGGAAGAAACACTCGTCTCGATTAGGGCGTGATAACATTGAGATTAACACTTACCCCTCATCTGTAGGGTTACCAGATCGAAAGAAACACACCGTTTAGAGCGAAAAAAAGAGGAGGTGGCATAGGGAAAAGAAAAAATTAGGAGTAAGTTTTGTCATGAGGAACTAATCATTCTGGTCTTTATAAAAATCACAATAGGCTCCTTGCAATGATCGAGTCTGGAAAAGCAATCCATTAAATACCCTTTTATCTGGTGGTTGTAGCAAGAGCAATTGCGATTTTGGGCGTAATGTATGGGATGATTTTTGGGTCTCTTACATCATCTCCTACCGTCTTTATTGTGATTCAAAATTGGTTTCTCTATTACATTCTGGTCAGAGATTTTTCTCCAATAGGCTTTAAACAATGATCTGGAGTGTTTTCGCGGCTCCAACTCCTCTGTTACGCACTTTTACCCTTTTCCCCGCAAAATATTTTTCTGGTAGCGAGAACAAACTTGAGAAGTCTGCGACTTTTTGTGCCATGGAAGTGATTTAGTTTAAGCTTCAACTTCGGTAACCAGTACTAATGAATAATGTACTGAATACTAATGTATTGATTTTTGCATCGCAAGCTTGATTTCGTTATCTGCCTGAAGGTGGCGGCCCATAGCAGTTGAGTTGCGAACCACCCATGTGAGCCTTTTCGTTCATATTCCTACCTGTAAGGATTAGGACCTTGGAGGTCTCTAGTCCACTGAAGGTTACGGGCAAGTTCCAAGTTAAACGAATCAAACCGTTGGCCAGCTTCGTATAAAAGTTTATATTGGCAAAAAACAGTAGTTGTTCAGAAGTCAGTAATTTAGTAGCTTAAAAATTTCCTTGACGAAGTTTCGATTTTTGTATTATAATATTCTCCGCTTCGGCAATGTGTCCCTTTACTTACTTTCATTCCAAAACCTTTTGTCAGTAAGAGTTCGGGTTCGGTGCTGATTAAGGATAGTGAAAGTACCTTCATTTACAACATTTACAACAACTTCACTTCATTTTTGTTTGGAAAGCTTACAAAAATACCTTTTTTTTCTGACCCGTCGCTGTGATGGAAAGGTAAGTGAAGACAGGCATGTTCCTAATTTTATTAATGTCAACAAGCTTCTGTATCGATTGTAATTACTAGATAAGGAGCGTTATGTAGCAGTTGTTCTGTAGGCATTTTTTGTATACATATATGCCATTGGTTCGACATTAAGAGTGTTACGATTGTATATAGTTTGTTCAACCTTAAAAATGCTGCTGAGCCGCAACGTGGAACTTCTGCGATGCGCTTGACCGGCGGTGAGTTCGAGATTTTTCTTGTTCGCAGTAGTCGTCTGCATTTTAGAGTATGATAGCGTCAATGCGGGTGAACGAATTGCAAACCGTGTTGTCGATGTTCAAAATGCCTAAATTGGGTAAGAAACAGGAACTAATTCAACGTTGTACGGATCTGCTACGTTCGCCGTCAGTACAAATGCAGGTTGCTAATCAGGTGAGTTGTTTAAGAGTCAGTTAGAAGGATTCATAAGAGCTGATGAGTGAACTATTTCAGGTAAAACTCATGATTGGAAAGGGTACCAGGGTCGCACCGTACGCTGTTCCTGTCAGGTAAGGGTTTAGTTCTTTTGGAATGTTGTTCATGAATTAAGAAAGGTAAGTGGATGCAAAAGGCCAGAGTTCTGTATTTTTTAATGAATAAAACTAATAGGTGCAGAGATTGAACTGTGTCTATCTTGTACTTATTGAATTCTGATCGCGCCATTCCCAGAATAGTGTGGGCTGCTAGAGCAGTCAATAATCGATCTCGGCATCGATTTATTGTAGTGTCTTCATGGATGAATTCATAAAAACTTTTCTTCTCAAAAACAGTGTCATAATGTTCAGAGGTTACATGGCGAATGGTGGTATGATCAACGGTAATAACGGTGCTTATGGTGGCTATCGAAGTGGCCAAATGATGCCCCCAATGCAAAACTCGTTACATCAGCAGGTTGGTTCAGATTAGTCCTACTTTTTTNTTTTTTAAAGTTCTTTGCTTGAATACACTTAGTTGAAGATGTTATCTGAATCACAGAGGTAAGATGATTGGCCTAAGCTTAAGCCTACCCCTGCGATTCAAATGGCGAAGCGCGCTTGCTGCATAGGCATTATGGATGATATCATTGGTGTGCGAAATATGAGAGATGGTGTTTTACAAGCACAGCCCGATAGAGATTCATCTCTGGATCAGGGTTGATATCTGAGCTGGAAGAAGCGCATATATAGCCACCGTAGTTCATGGACAGCGGTCATGACCTTCGATCAGTCAAAGCCCTAGTCCTGCAGTAATGGTGTGGATGTGGTTTTCTTAGCTGCCCTGGTAGGAAGGAGAGAGTAATGGTGTGGATGTGATTTTCTTAGCTGCACTGGTAGGAAGGAGAGTTGAGCTGGAGTTTGAAGTATTTAGTGGGTAATGAGAGTTACCACACATCAATGGCTAGCCGAACTAGAGCTAGAATATTGCGTATGAGGGCCTCTCTCGTTTCTTCACAGTTGGAGTTTAAGTACAAAATGTTTCATCTGGAACGTTTTGAAGAATAGGAAATATTTTTAGTGCCGTCCATTGAGAAATCTTGTACCCATTGATCTTCCGTTCTATGATAGTCATCAAACATTGCTGGAACCGATGGAGCTGCCAGCAGTAATTTCTGGTGTGAAATCACCATGCAAGGTAAATTCCCCTGCTTTTACGCAGCTTCCGCAGCATGAGTACTGGAAATCTTTTTTTAAGCAGTCGTATTCATTTCTTGTTCCAAGAGAACGTTTCGCCAACTGGATTCCAACGTCACCGTTACCAAGGTTTGAGGTTCAGCTCAGGTAAGGTGTTGGTGCGTTTGAGTGGTTTCAGTGTTCAATGTCTCGTCCGGCTGTACTGTCAAGAAACCAGTTCAGGTTCTTCCAAGTGCCCGCAGGTTACAACTCGCAAGAGTTACCCGACGATTTTCCGCTCAACTGCATGGTCCGCTTGGAAGAGCAAATAGTGCAGTTGCCGGTACGTTTTCTTGCATCTTCATGTTACTGTACTGCATTTTCTAGGCATTTTGTTTACATTGTATTATACTTTTACCAAGTGATTCCACTTGAAGGCTGTCATTCCAACGAATAAACCGAATGTTGAACCGAAACGACCGTCTCGGCCTGTAGATATCACACAACAGTGCTTGAATGTACGTGATGCCTCGAGGCCGTTGCGACTACTTATTGAATGGACCGGTGACAAAAGGGTTTGGGCTGTTGCCGTCTATTTGGTGAGTCATTCTTTTTTTGCACTTTTTTACTGAGATGTATGGAATAATGCTATAAAGAGCGAACGATAATTTTTTGATTGCCTAAATTGTTTGTTTGTTTGTTTAGGTGTACCGGGTAACTTCCGACATTCTTCGAGATCGGGCCATCGGAACCTACACCGGTCCGACATACGGTAACAAACCGCCAGTGGTATGTTTTTTGCCTTCCCACATCGAGTTTCAAATCATTTGTCAGAAAGGTGATATGTTGGGATCAAGCTATATATTCTCTAACCTCAATTCATCTTAAGGATCATCACCAAAATGAGCACGTGACTAGGGACGTGATCAGAACACGGCTTGGTGGTGGAAACGACGATGACATAGCAATGGCGCAGTTGAAGATCAGTTTGTTGTGTCCGGTGAGGGTTTTAAAGTACGAAATGGCGTAGTATCTTTTGTTGATATATATAAATTTGTGTTGAAAAATGAGGCAGCAAACCTCTAAAGCCTTCAATTATTCATTGTTGGTGCGCATGTCTAATGCCCGGCTCATACTTCCATGAGCTTACTCTCTTTCTCATAGTTGCATGCCCAGTTTTACAAAACTTTGTTGATAATCGCAATTTCTTATAACTGATAGATCACGCCCGTCTCGAGATATCGGCTTATGCTTTTAGAAAAGTCGATGATATGAACGCGCATGGTTGCTTACAGGGCTTTTAATGTTCCCCTTCATGACTTGTCAAAGTTCAGGCTCTTGTTTCTATGAAGTTGGCAGCAATCTCACCTACTACGCGACGACTATAACACCTTAGTTTAAGTATTGCCCCTTTGAAAAGCTTTTTTCCAAGTATGTGGTGTAATATTAAAAGAGTTAGGGCTCAACCGCTCTCTTCATGATTGGTCCCTTTTCCTACATTCCTCTTGGTACGCATGGGATTAGCGAATTTGTACAAACGTCCATGTGTGATAGGCTTGGCAATTCATGACGTACAATTGCGTGTTTGCAGTGTAAATGGTGACTCGCGATGCCCTCTCTACCACTACGGCTTTGTTTGTTCATGCGATGCTACAGCTAGCTGCCAGTTTGAATGCGTTTCGTGTACANGTCCATGAGACCATTTAATCGAGATATCGAGTAGATACGGAACTCTAGTTGCTTTTTACCATACATTTCAAGATCCCGTAAAGGAGAGCATTATGTGTCGCTGAGCAACAGATCATTGGTTTCGATCTTGATCTTTGGTAATAAGAAAGGCCAGAGATGAGTCGGGAAGTGTTTGATGTTGGATTGTTATGACTTTTAACATAAGACTTGGACGACCGTATTAGGGCTAGGCGAAAGAGGATTTTCCAGATAAAGGATTCAACGGAAATGCTGCGAGGCTCTAATCTGGATCAGTTAGGATTTCGAATAGAAATCCGTGGGATTGTAGCCTTTGCGAGAAAATGTCTCTGCCAATTTGTTAACGAGCAAGTCGACTCGAGATTGCGGATAATTTGCGAGAGTAGGATATGGTTCACTGAAAAATGATATCTATCGTAAAAGCTGGAAAGCGGTTTTTTAAGTAGTATTGGTAGCTAAGGGAATAGGCCCTGCTTCGCTGCCTGAACCACTTTTCTCCGATTCGCTGTGGGAATGTGCAGGTGACTTTTTGGGGCCAAATGACTGGCAGATGAACTAATTGATAGCTGATAGCTTTGACAAACCTCCTGATACTTTGTATCTATCGCGTGGGACTTGCGTTCTGTCTCTGTCCTTGATGGTGTTTCATTTCCGACTAATTTTGTCGGCATTTGAGGACATGGTAAAGAAGATAATAGACACAGATTGGATCAGACTAGAGAGCGGTCTTCTTTAGTGGCATTGTTCTGGTTGAGAGGTGAATAAATGCATCCCAAATTGCTTGTTTAGTCGAAAGATGGAATTGGGGCCAGTCATAGTTGAGAATTCTGCTCGGGAACCAAATTTATCATTTGAGAAGGGGGAAGGGGATCGTATTCATGCCTAAGGGTAGCTAACTATTAGATTAAATGTCAGCGATGAGCATTGGGAGGCTTTCGTTGAAAATGACTGAAGTGTTATTACTTTACGTCCTTCATTAAGCTCTGTCGACCTTTCTTGGAATTGAATCTGGTCGAGGAATCGACAGGGTCGTGTTTAATTACGGAGGGATTTGAAGGGAAGTAGTGACACTTTCCAATCTACCTGAACAGAATACTCGTCGTTGCTGCTTGAAACGAGGTCCCTAACATCTTTGAAGATTCTTTATCAGTATGAGAGTGTCTTGTCGATTTGGTGTACAGCTTATTGCTTGTTAATCGGATGAGTTCGATCCGGTTCTGTAACAGCTTTGAAGCTGTTATTGTAATGAGATATGAACTGATGCCTGAAGGATTACGATAGAAGTATCAAATTTCATACGGATCTTTGGACGTTATGGAAATGTAGAGGCCNTTGGACGACCGTATCAGGACTAGGCGAAAGAGGATTTTCCAGATAAAGGATTCAACGGAAATGCTGC